GATAACGATCATCTATGTGTTGCATGTGAATGTCGGAAGCAATCAAAGAAAGGTCATCATGTGATCATTGAAAAGTCCATTTCAAAACTACTGGAACTAAAGGTGTTTACAGGGCGGTTCGGCTCGGATAGTAATAAAATTGTGAACCGTGACCACAGGACGGGTACCTAAGATGCATTAACTGAAACCGAGACGAATTATGAAAAAAACCAAACCAAACCGAACCCTGTCAAAGCGGGTAACCATGGTTCGGTTCACGGGTACCCGCTAAATACAAAAAATTGAAACCATTATTTAAAAATACAAACTATCAATAAGTCATCAAGTAGAAAAATTGTTGAAGTTAAAATTATATATTATAATTTATATAATAACTATAATAATAAAATTAACTTGTGATAAAAGTTCTATATTATGAATTGAGTTTTGTTTGGGTCATTGGACTGTATGCGTATGATGGGTGAATTAAAAAACAATGTTGGGTGTTATGAGTGTGGAACACCGGAGGAACGATATTGTTATGATTTTTTTTAATTCTATTTAGTTACTTTTATACTAACTAATATATATATATATATATATAAATGACTGTTTGATTCGGGTATCCGCGGATTTCGAAATATCCAAACCGAAACCGACCCACAGATAGTCGGTTTTTTTGGTTTCGGTTTATTTCGGTTCCGGTTTTTTCGGTTTTGGATTGGTCGAATCGACTCGGTTTTTTGGTTTTATGGTTTTTTTGCACACCCCTAACTGGAATTTCTTCATATCGATCTCTGTGGACCATCTATAGTAGAAAGTCTACATCATAAAAAATACATTTTTGTGATTGTTGATGACTACAAAAGGTTGACTTGGGTTTTCTTCCTAAGGATAAAGTCTGAAACACCCTCTGAACTCATAAATTTCATCTAGGAAATTGAAGTGCTTGTTAAACTAATTGTGTGATGAATCCGAAGTGACAATGGATCTGAGTTTACAAATGCCACCATTGAGAAGTTTCTCATCGACAAAGGCATCGATCACAATTTCTCTGTTCCATACACTCCTCAGCAAAACGGTGTGGTTGAAAGAAGGAATTGAAATCTTGTTGAAGCCGTTGGATCGATGTTGAACTTTGCAAACCTTCCTTTCTATCTTTGGTCCAAAGCCGTCTCCACTACTTGCTTTACTCAAAATCGAAGCATCATCAATCGTCGTCTCAACATGACACCATCTGAATCAATGAATTGTCGAAAGTAGAGTATCTCATTCTTTGGATGTAGATGCTTTATCAAAAACAACCGTGATCAACTCACCAATTTTCTAACAAAATCCGATGAAGCCATATTTCTGGGATACTCAGCCAAGTCTAAAGCTTACAGAGTTCTGAATCGTAGAACCCGTGTAGTTGAAGAAAGTTTTGATATCGCTTTTAATGTAATTTTGTTCGAAACTCAAATCCTAATCATGTTGAAACACACATCATGGAGTCTGATGCTCCACCTCATGGGTCTCCGAATCATCAAATTATCTATGAATTTGATTTTGAAAGTCTGTTCGGACCAATAGAGACTGCACTTGATTTAGAATCTCAAGCAAGACCCTCCTCAACTGACGCTCCAGTTTCTCAAAATGTCTCTAGTTCGACCCCAACCTTTCCTCCATTTGATTCCAATCCATATCAACCTTATCAGGTTGAGCAGGAGAATAGTCGTCCAAGCCTTGAATCAAATGTTGATAGATTTTAAGATGCACCATATCAATTCTTTGAATTTGATCCCATTCCAAACAACAATGAAGATGATGACAACTTCTTTGACTTTATGAACGATGACGACATTGATATATCCGGTTCAGAAGTTCAGGGGTTGCATCATCATCAAATTCAAATTGTTCAGGAGGAGAAACATAACCCCATTTTTTATATCGGATCATCCGCTGCACAACAACTTCCTAGATTGCATATCTGGACAAAGGATCGTCATCCGAATCAAGTTATTGGAAATCTTAACGCTGAACTTCAAGCTCGCTCTGCTTCTAACATTCGAAATGAGTGTTACTTCTCAGAATTCATATCAATGGTTGAACCCAAATCTATCCAAGAAGGCTTATAACATTCTTATTGGATTACAACCATGCAAGAAGATCAAGTAGTATTTGACAGAAATTAAGTGTGGACTCTTGTCCCTACTCCTCATGATCAACCTATTGTAGGTACAAGTTGGGTCTTCCGAAACAAACTCGACGACACCGAAGTTATAATCAGAAACAAATCGAGATTTGTAGCCAAAGGATTTTCACAGATCGAAGGACTCGACTATGACGAGACCTTTTCTCCTGTAGATCGTCTTGAAGCTATCAAAATCTTTCTCGCTTATTTTGCTCACAAAGGCTTCAAAGTTTACCAAATGGACGTCAAAAGTTCCTTTCTCAACGGTGAACTTGACACTGAAGTGTATCATTAACAACCTCCTGGGTTTGTAAAATTTTCATATCTGAACTACTGTTACAAACTTCAAAAAGTTGTTTATGGCCTCAAACAAGATCCACACGCCTGGTACGAGACACTCACTAATTTTTTGAAGTGTTCCGGTTTTCAAAGAGGAATTCTTGATTCTACTTCATTCCAAAGATCGAATGGAAACCATCTCATGTTAGTTCAAATATATGTCGACGACATCATTTTTGGATCAACTGATGCAGCGATGGTTTTTGATTTTGAAAAGCAAATGGTTAGTCGATTCCAGATGTGTATGAATCGAGAATTAAGCTTCTTCCTCGGACTACAAATTAAATAGACCAACGGAGGAATCTTCATTCATCAAGAGAAATATATTTCCGAACTTCTAAAGAAATATTCTATGGACACCTATGCCTCTGCAAAGGTTCCAATGGGTTTCAGACACATGATCTTCTCAGATCCATCGGGTGTTGTTGTTGATCAGAAGAAGTATAGTGGAATGATTGGATCGCTACTCTACATCACTACAAGTCGTCCAGACATCATGTTCTCTACATGTCTGTGCGCTAGATTCCAGGTTAATCCGAAGATGTCTCATCTTCTAGCCATCAAGAAAATCTACCGATATCTTAAAAGGAACTAAGCACCTTATAATTTTGTACCCTGCAAATGAAAGTTTCCTTCTTCAAGCCTATTCCGACTCAAAGTATGTTGGAATTCAACTTGATAGAAAAAGAAATTCTAGTGGTTTTGAATGTTTAGGTGCAAGATTGGTTAGCTGGTCATCCAAAAACGGCTGAAATGGAATATATTGCTGCCGCAAGCTGTACCTGGCAAGTTCTATCGATGAAATCTCAGCTTTTGGACTATGGTTATCGATTTCAACCAATTCCTATCTATTGCGACTCTCAAACTTCAATTTCAATCTCTCACAATCCAATTCAGCACTCTATGACCAAGCACATTGATATTCGGTACCACTTTATTAAAGATCATGTTCTAAAAGGTAACATTGAGCTCATATTTTTTTCATCTGATAATGAAGTTGCTGATGTATTTACTAAGGCATTAGACGAAAACAAATTTAATGGGTTTCTGAACAAAATGGGAATGATGATTTCTGATCCTCAATTCTTCCAAGAAGTTTGCACTCTCAAACAGAAACATTAGAAAGTTCAATAATTTAGAACTAAGACATTTTCTCCTCGAAATTGTTTCTTCTCGAAAAATAAATGATCACTATTTGTCTTTTTGTCCAACTTTTCCTCTAGTCTTAACTTTTTCAGCCCTCCTCATCATGTGAAGCTTAGTCCGATATACTTACATCGGAAATCCTGAAATATTTTCATCTTGGAATATTTCTCCTCGGAATGATATCTCTGAAGTATACCTCAAAATTCAAATCCGAAATGGTAATGTGATTTTATCACTTATCTCCTTTCGATCTCTGTTCCTTCAGCTCTTAGAATTCCAACTCACTTACAAAACATGTCCTCTAAGACCTTCATGCATTTTTACTTCTGATATTCAGTCTGAGATTGTGCCATCTCAATCTCTATATCATGTACCAATGATGTGTTCAAATTCTTTCCGAAGTATCTTATGACATCCCATCTCAGAATCTTATTATTCCGAGATTCTCAACAATAAATGAATTTTAAGGTTATCATTAAAGTTTTGATTCCGAAACGTTTTTCATGGATATATTAACGGTAATTTTATTTATGATTGTCCTCTTAATTCTCAATAACCACGCTTTGGCACACGTTCCAATAAAGTACTGAGTGTTTTCTGAACTAAATCGACGATTACCCTTTTTGAACGAACAAATGTCTCATCTCTTATTCTAGACTGTCACTTAGGAAGCCGTTTTGGGCCACTACAAGAAAAACAGCCTTTTACGACACGCAATACGTGTCGTAAAACGCTCAGACGACACGCAAATGCGTGTCAAGGAAGGCCATGTCATAACGAAAGACGACACGCTTTTGCGTGTCGTCTATTTACGACACGCATTTACGACACTCATTTACGACACAGAATGCGTATCAAGGAAGGCCCTGTCACAAAGGAAGACGAAACACATTTGCGTGTCGTAGCCTTACGACTCGCATTGCGTATCATTAAAGCCCCTGTCAAGAAAGGCCATGCCATAAATGAAGATGAGACATATTTTTGTGTATCGTAATTTTAAATGTTTAAAAAAATATTATTTATAGATTTACTAATTTTCATATTAAATTTGCAGTTAATGTCTCATAATAGAAAATAAAATATCATATACAAAAAATACAATCCATTGCATAAAATTTAATGTCATACAAATAATTGTTCCATGGAAAGATAAAACAAATCAATAGAAGTTGTAACAAAAATTTACAAACTAATTAGATACAAGAAATATGAGAAACTTGAAATCCCTGAGATTAATAGTTCTAACAGAAGGTTCACGTGAGATACATACAGTTGGACCAGTAAGCAAGTATGTTACCGAATCCACAACAGCAGCACAAGAACACGTACATGATATCTTCTGCTAGAAGGTGCCGATTCAAAACTATTGTTGAAGGTTGCCATGATAGCTGTTAAGATTTATGCATAACAAGAAACCAATCAGTGACTATAAGAAGTTAGATAGCGACAAATCCAACTTCTCCAAATTATCACAATGATAAATAAAAAAAAGGTACCAAAGGTCTCCATGTCTTAACACCATTTGATGTTGAAATTCATATGTAGGGGAACCATTAATCACGATAGAAGCCATAAAAGAAGTTAGATAGCGACAAATCCAACTTCTCAAAATTGTCACCAAACCCCATATAGGACTTCGTCTAAATAATCTCATCTTAAGGAATTATAGCCCTTCTCAAAATCAACCTTAAAAACCAAAAGCTTATGATGATACTCCTTGGCCCAACCTATAATCATCCCGTCTAACATTTGGAACATCCCTAATTACAACAATAAAGAATGTACCTTATGAGAGGAGCAGCAAGACTTTCGGCATTTGGAACATCTAAATTGGTGGCTGGTTCATCAAGTGGAAGTATTCCACAGTTAAGGCAAAAGGTTTCTGCTAATGCCAATCTAATGATAAGTGAAGCAAGAACCTAAGATCAATTGAAAATGGATTTCTGAAATTCCTTCAAATCCAAAATACAATGGGAATGGGCAAGTAGAGATGATGGCACACCTTTTGACCTGCACTGCACCTTCCTCGCATTTCAAGCTCAAGATCACCAACTTGCATAACAACCTGAACTTACAATCAACCATAAACAATGGGGTTGGGATAAAATGTGAGATATAGCAACATACTTTCATTTAATTTTATGTTTAAAAAAGTTACTAATTTACCTCGTAGCTATAAGACCTTGTAGCACCACATTCAGCATCTAAACGTATACTAATGTAATCAATATCTTGCCCTCTGCATGTTTGCTTCCATAGTGTTATCCTATTCATTGATGAAGGGCTTACTAGTAATTTTGGTTGCTGTTGGAGGGAGTGGAAGAGTTTAAGAGGAGGCAAACAATAGCAACCATATGCAAGGCAAAAGACAGAAAACAAAAAACCAATAAAATTAACAAAATTAAAAAAAATTAAAAAATGAATCATCACCTTTAATGGATCTGGCAAAAGGCTCTGCACTAGGATATCTAAAAGTTCAAGATTAAAACCACGTTATCTAGCAAGAATTATCACATGCAAGATTGATTAACCATTATAATTTACAATTTATAATTTAAAATACCACGAAAATCATCTTCAAATTTTGCATTATCAGCTGACCCATCAAGCAAGTTATATAAAGCACTCATAAATCTGTAAATATTTTGTTTAATTAAGATACCACGACAAATCGTCTTCAAATTTTCACCATTATCACATAAAAGGAGCTGCAACACGTTTTGCCAATGGCTTGGCAGTTGACAAAAACTGCTCAGACAGAGGCAAAATCATCAAATCATCACCACCATGAAAATATTAAATATTGGATTGGGATTGGGATTTAACCATTTGATTAAAAAAGGAATTGGAATTTGAAACTAAACATACTTGTAGACATTAAGCATGTCCAAAAAGATGAGTGTTATCATAGAAAAAAAAGTAGAATCATTGGGAAGTTGATTAATACAGACTCTTTCGTATAACCCATTAAGTCATTTTGTCCACATTAAGTCAAAAAGGAACAACCATGCCATGTATAGTTTGTTCAGATTAAGTGATTAACTCATTAAGACCACTAAGTCATAAGAATAAACCCCTAAGTCATTATTATGTCCAAGTTAAGTAAAAAAGAAACAGCAGGTATAGATTAAGACAAACTCTTTGGTATAACCCATAAACTTAGGGAAACAAATTTGTAAAAAGTTGTGAAGTGAATAACCTAGACATACCAGACATTGTTCAGATCTGACCCATACAAGGAAAGTTCATCATCATTTGTCATTTGCAGCCTTTCCTGTTGAAATCCCTGGTGAAGTTGTCTTCCTCCACCCTATTCACAACTATGCTCTTCTTGCATACGACCCTTCAGTATTAGGGCCCACAGGAGATTCTGTAGTCCATGCTGCTCAACTTCTTCATGGTATTTCAACATTTTCTCATTCTGCTTATTCAGTTATTGACTTATTTCAATTTCTAACTACTTTTTTTTATTATTTTCAGAACCTGCAAATAAGACGTGGTGAATCTGTATACCTAGTGGGATTAAGTAGAAACTTACAAGCAACATCCAGAAAATCAGTTGTAACAAATCCATGTGCTGCTTTAAATATCATCTCAGCAGATTATCCACGCTACAGAGCAACAAATATAGAAGTAATCAAACTTGACACCGGTATTATAATATTACAATACTACATTCTCATTTCTTACTAACATAATATTTTTAATGTATTATTTTTTTTTCTTTTTTTAAGATTTTGGGAGCAGTTTTTCGGGAGTGCTTACTGATGAACAAGTGTTGGGTCATAAATATGGTTTATACTTACTTTTCTAGGAAAATATATTTTTCTGTAATGTAATATATATTTGCGGCTGTGTTCACGGTCAAGTGAGTGTTTACGGCCGTAAACCAGTTCACGGCCGTAAACCTGTTCACGGCTGTGAACCCATCTAAGGCTCATGTTCCCCATAAGTATATAAATAGATGTTAGGTGCGTGAGGAGTGGTTGATGCATGTGAGAGAGCATATTGTAGAGAGAGAAAGTTAGAGAGAAGAGAGAAGAATAGTGTGTGTGTGAGAGAATCTAATGTGTATGGAGCATCACTCATATCTTTGAATACATCATAGATTCAAGTTCTTCTTCTTCTTCTCATTCTCTTCTATTTTGATCTGGCATCATCCGTTTGATCGGGATTCCGCATCATCAAATGGATCTGATTGATACTCAAGCAGATTTGGACTTACAAGTTCTGTTGGTTTAAGTGCCTTTGGATTGATGAAGCAAAATCGAAAAGGAAAGTTTAATTTTGAAGGAAAGTTTCCTCTGATCAAGTTTGGCATCTTTGCTGAAGAGAGTAATCCCTCTGAGTCTGATGATCTCTCAAGCCCCATGGAAACCGACGATGTTGTTATCTCGGCTTCAGAGCATGAAAACGAAGAAGATCATGTTCCTCCTGTCGCACTCGTGGCTGAGGAGCATGACCAACTACAAAACGTGGAGGTTCAGAGTGATTATGATGGAGATGGTGATGATGAGGATGAGTTTGAAGAAAATTTAACGGATAATATGACGGTAAATGATGATGATGAAGGTGATGATTTTACGAAGGACATGGACTTTACAGGCTTTAACAATGAGGAAATCCCCCTTAACTTTGGTCTTGAAGATGATGACTTTGGTCCAAGTTCGGATTTCGTTGACAGGTTCTTTACAAGGGTCAATGAAGTTGTTCAATCAGCAACTGAGACTAGGGTTGTTGACGAGACTCTCGAAACTATGCCTCCTACGTCAAGATCGATGGAAGATACTTGAAGCCAAAAGGATGCAACTTCAAGGATTCCTCCCCTTGATTCTGCTATTCCTACATCTATGCCATCCACAAGTGATCCGACACCGACACAAACCTCCCTGCCTTTTGTAAAAAGAAGTCGACTCGATCCGAGGCAAGGAGTGTTTACCCAAGATCAAGCATCGCCAGCTCCATCCACAATCACCACCACAACAGTTACTGCACCACCTGTATCTACCCAACAAGGCCCAAGTACGATATATGAAACTGGAACATCTTCCGCTATTCAAGGATACTCCCCTACAAGGCCTTCGCTAGATGAAGTCTCCATCTGTCTAGCAAGGCACTTGGCACAACATAGTTCAGAACCTTCCTCACGTGGAAAAGGGATATCTATTGAGGAAGTTCATTCAGGGGATGTTGATCCTTTTGTGTCCAAGCTCAAAGAAGAAATTGGCATTCTCAATCATCAAAATATTGATAAGGACATTTTGATTGCGAAACATGATGTCAGGATCACTGAGCTTGAAGCAGACAATGCATTGAAGTCAAAACAGATTTTTGCTTTGCAAACTAATCTTGGATCCTTGACTGCTTTCTACTTCAGCTTGAAGAACAAATTGTTTGAAGCTTTTGGTTATAAGTTCCAGTCCTTGTTTCAACAGCCTCATGGTATTGAAGATCCTCCCACTGCTCCCGTCCAGCCTTCCGAAAGCGAAAATCCTGTTGATCAACCACCCCAAGAACAACAAGAATTGTCAATCTGTTTGAGTAAGAGCTTGTGAATGCCAATCCCCGGATCACAATTAAACAAGGAAAGAGAACAGTCACAGCTGAGAAGAAAGTAGGTTTGCTCTTCATGAAGAACTCAAATGAGAATCGTAAAGCAAATGAACCTCAACTCACTGTAACAGATCTTAAAAAGAGAAAATTTGGTGATCGTACAGGGATCAAAATGTGGGCCTATGATCATGAACTTAAACTATGGGTGGTTAAGAGAAATTCTGGAAATACAGAGAACTACAAAAGCATTCATGACTTCAACTCCTGGACAAAGGTTGATATCTCTGAAATCTCAAGGGCTCCATTCCACAATCCTTCAAAAAATCCTAGTGCTTTCAACTTCAAACAGTTTTTAGATAGATAGGTCAGGGATAATTTCCCCATGATGAAGACTACGGAAGCTTTGGTTAGAAAAGAAAAAGATATTCTTGATCTTGAAACTGATAAACCCATGAAGATAATGTTATGGCCAGCTACAAACCAATTGAAGGAGATTCCAATCCGACAACATTTTCATGATGGATATCTTGATGATATGGATTTTTGGGCCTTTGATGATGAAACAGCAACTGCATCCATAAAATTCAAAAACAGAGAAGGAGTTCTCAAGCTTGTTAGCGCTAATGATCTTCTGAGATTCAGAGAGAGAGACATTCACACTTTGGCCCGTCATCAAATCGTGTGTGGGAGGGAGATCATGGAGGCTTATGCAAAAGAATTTACAGGAATGGTTGCCACAATTATCAAGGATAGGCTCTAGCTGGGATCTATGGGAAAATATGACCTAAGGCTGTTCGAGGAACCAAAAGATTGAAGACCAAGTCTATGCTAGCCTCAAACCAAGGGGGAGATTGTTAGGTCATAATATAGTGGTTTGGGCTAGGCATCCATCTTGTATAGCTCTTGGTAGGATTTTGGGCTTCGTAATGGTGTTTGTAGTTTGTGTGTGGCTGTGTATGGCCAGACTCGTGTGTACGGCCGTACACCCTATGTACGGCCGTACATGGGTGTACGGCTCTACACACGTGTACCGCTAGTGGTCCTATAAATAGAGTGTGTCTGTGTCAGTTTTAGGGTGACGTATGTGTGTGTATCCAAGGTGTGCCTGACATGTTTTTTTGATATTAACGTGTGCATGCTTGGCTTAATCTTTCCTCTACTCCATTCTTATTGTGATTGATTGCTATATGTTTGATCACTGGTTTGGATCATTGAAATCGGGACTTACAAGTGGTATCAGAGCTTGGATTGTATCAATCAATTTTGTCAGATCTGGAGCTTATTTGATCTTATTTTTGAAGGATTTTTGTGTTTTTGGATAGATCTCTGAAAATTAGGGGGGGTTGTTCATTGCATTTTTCATAAAAACGAGTTCTGGATAGAGTTTTGGAGCAAAAAGTGTGAAAAAACGTCGTTTTTCTTAGCATCTGTTGCAGGTGTATGGCCAGTTGAAGGTGTACGGCTCGAAGTTCGTTTACGGCTCGGTGTACGGCTCAGCAGCCTCGCACGTGTACGATCAGGCGAGTTTACGGTCCGAAGACACGTGTTCGGTCGGCATTCACGGTCTGTGGTGTGCGGCCAGCCTCGTACGTGTTCGGCCAACGAGTCTTCGTTCAGCAGCCTCGGTCTCGCATTCGCAGCAGTCGTCCTCGCATCCTTGCTTCCTCGCACGCACGTCTAAAAAATATGAAACAAAATTGGGGGTGTCGGGGATTGAACGC